TTGGAAAAGAAGAAGTAAAATGGCCTTTATTTGCTGATGACATGGTTCTTTGTATAAGCAACCCCAAGAGCTTACCAGAAAAGTCCTAGAACTAATATTTTATTCATGTTACAAAAGAAAAAAAACAAACAAGCATCTTTCTTTGCTTTTAATGGTTTTTCTTGTTTTCACAAAAACAAAAAAATAACCGGGGGTTGAGGGAAAGCCAGGCTTAAATTGCAAAAGCAGTTTTTTCTTCCCTGCCGAAGCTGCCTGCAGCCTTGTACATTTTTCTTTTCTGGCTAGAAAAAAGGGTGGCCAGTAAAAACCCCAATGACATTGTGATTTCATTAAAAATATAGTGGGCTTCCTCAGTTTCAATTTTAAAAGCTCTCATAGCTACAAATAAAGAGACATGGTGGCACTGTGAGTTAAGCACTGGGCAGATAGCAGAAAGGTCAGTGGATTGAACCTACCCACTGCTCCTTTGGGAGAAAGATGAGGCCAATGCGCGTCCAGGCAGCTTTGCAGCTTTGGAAACCTTATGGAGCCCCCCCACTCTGTCCTGAGGGTCACTCTGCGTCACAGTAGCTGGATGGCACTGCATTTATAACTACAAATGGCGCAGGGCCAAAACTCTTCATGCATAATTTTTAAATGCGAAGTAAATACTCATTAAGTATGTGGTCACCCTGGAAATGTGTATTCATTAAGGGTGAAAAAAAATTATGCTTCTGGGAAGCCTGCAGCCCCTTGGGGCACTTGTTTCTTCTCATTTTTTCCTTTCTCCGTAGGAGGCTCACAGTCCTCCACACGTACAAATTGTTAATGAAGTTATGAAACGATAAAATACGACGCTCTTGCTTTGAGCTAGTTCCAAGGTTTATAGTTAACAATTGTTTAACTAGCCAACTTGCTTTTGGGGGAGACATGATCTCTTTGCAAGCAGATAGAATGACTGTTCTTCTAGAATATACCTTATATTTAAATTTCCCTGAGCTTTGACTATTTTTAACCATATCATACAACATGCGACATGCAGCACAGTGAAACAATTGTACTTTGAGAGCCCAGCACATGGACATAGCTGCTCTCGAAGCAGAGTCATGGATGGAGCAGTGTAGGTCTGACTCTTGCCTTTACCATCCTTAGCCCTGAGGTCTTTCATGGAACTGGGGTATGTATGTCTCAGTGCTCCACCCGTACGGTGTGGACTTTCAGGGAGGTGAAATGAATCAATAATGAAAAATAAATGCTTTTCACCAATTAAGGCCAAGTAACTGTGAAGTATACGTCACAGTTCACACCAGAGCATGCTCTATCATGCCAAAATTGCCTTTGATAGCCTCATAAAATTTCAAGTTATAATGACCCTTTGCTACAGCTCAGCTGAAGAACTTAATCTGTACGTATAATGATTATTGATATTGGGCTACTCAGTAAGCAATACTTCTCAAAGAATAGTACCTCTACTGACCCAGTTTGAAAATCCGATACCCCTGTATCTATGGATGTAATCCCATTTGGGGATAAGACTTCGTTATGTTAACGAGATGGGTGAACACTGTAGAGTAGTTGTAACGCAATCACCTCTCAGATCTAAGAATGGACAGATCTGGCCCAGAGAAGGGTGTATAAAGTAAGTAAGACACACACCCATGAAGATCATCAAAGGGTCAATAAAGGACCTTTCCCCTAAGTTGGCAGAGACAGAAAGCCTTGCCCTAGAGCTGGGCCCTAAGCTGGGACTTCTGGCCTCCTAAACTGTGAAAAAGGACTTCCAGTTTGTGAAAGCCAGCCACTGTGGTGTTTATCTTATAGCAGCACTAAGAAACAAAGACACCTTTCCACCAAGATACAACACATCAACCTTGGGGAAAATACATTCTGATTGCTTTGCCAGA